ATACAAAAAAATATATATATATATATATATATATATATATATATATATATATATATAAAATGAAATATAACCAGCAGTATGCAAAGATTTCTTAGGACCCAAAGACCACTAGCCATAAAAGAAAAAAAATGATATACTGGGCCTTATAAAAACTTCTGCTTACAAAAAAAAAAAAAAAAGCCTGGTGCAGTGGCTCAAGCCTGTAATCCCAGCACTTGGGAGGCTAAGGTGAGAGGATTGCCTGAGCCCAGTGGTCTGAGACCAGCCCGGGCAACTTGGCGAGACCTCATCTCTACAATAAATCAAAAAATTAGCCAGGTATGGTAGCGCAGGCCTATAGGTCCAACTACTTGGAAGGTTGAGGCAGAAGGAACACCTGAGCCCAGCAGATCGAGGCTGCAGTGGCCGTGAGTGTGCCACTGCACTCCAGCCTGGGTGACAGAGTGAAAGGCCAACTCAAAAAAAAAAAAAAAAAGGCAAGCCACAGTCTGGGAAAAAATATCCTTGAAAGATATAACTGACTATAAATACTTTTAATCCATTGATGAGATGGCAAGAAAGTCGATCTTCATACTCATTAAAAGTGATGTGTAAGTAGAAATCCAGGCAGCTGAGAAAAAAATGGAAGCCTCTGCTATACTACACTGCCCTTAATACTGTTTTGACAGTCACAGAGAGGATAGAAAGACAGAGACAAAATCAGTACTGTCTGATCGGAGATCCCCTGCATAAATCTGGGACTCCTAAACGGCTATCCTTCTTTGTAAAAGTGAACAAGAAAAAAAGAATTCAACTGTAGAGGAGGAATTAACTGTCTCAATAGGTAGAGGGAGAAAAACATTTCTGACGATAAGCCGGTTCTTATGTGGACTTGCAGCTTAAATTCATCCTACCTGTCTGCTCCAAAAAACCTGAAGCCAATTTTATTTATTTATTTATTTGTTTGTTTATTTATTTATTTGATTGGAGTCTCAATCTGTTGCCCAGGCTGGAGCACAATGGCATGCTCACAGCCACTGCAGACGCAACCTGCTGGGCTCAGGTGATCCTTCCTCCTCAGCCTTCCAAGTAGCTGAAAATAAAGGCGTGTGCCACCACACCCAGCTAATTTTATGATTTATTGTAGAGATGAGGTCTCACCAAGTTGCCCAGGTTGGTCTTGAAACCCTGGGCTCAGGCAATCCTCTTACTTCCATCTCTTAAAGTGCTGGGATTACAGGCGTGAGCCATCGCACCCAGCAAGAATTTATTTACAGTAATTTCAGATTGGTAGTGCCTCAAGGCATGCAAAAAAGGAAACACAGATGCTGATAATATAACATTTATCCCAGACTTCAAAGAATTCCCACAGTTCAGGTTCTAAAGCCCCAAGTTTACATTAAAATATTCACAAAACAAAGAAAAAAACACCCTGAGTCAGCAGAAACAAAAGACAGCAGCATCAGACACAAAATCTGTAGATGTCAGAATGTCAGACAGAGAATACAACAACCATGTTTAATGTGTATTTATTTATTATTGATTTATTGAGATGCAGTCTCATATATTGCCCAGAATGGAGTGCAGTGATGTAATCACAGCTTGCTGTAATCCCAGTTTCTGGACTCAAACTATCTTCCCTCTTTAGCCTCCCAAAGTGTCGAGATTACAGACGTAAACCACTGCATCCAGCCTAATTTTTTTTTGTTTTTTGAGTTGGAATCTCACTCTGTCACCCAGACTAGAGTGCAATGGCCGCTCCCGGCCACTGCAGCCTCGACCTGCTTGGCTCCGGCGATCCTTCTGCCTCAGCCTTCCAAGTAGCTGGAACTACAGGCGCGGGCTACCACGCCCAGATAATTTTTTGATTTATTGTAGAGATGAGGTCTCGCCAAGTTGCCCAGGCGGGTCTCGAACCCACAGGCTCAGGCAATTCACTCACCTCAGCCTCCTGAAGCGCAGGATTACAGGCTGAGCCACCGAGACCAGCTCAGCCTAATATTTTTAGTATACATTTACAGAATAAAAAGAACAACTTAAAAATATGATTAAGGAACAGAGGATTATTTTTTCTTTGTTATTTTATTTCATTTATTTTTTTTGAGTTGGAGTATCACTCTGTTGCCCAGGCCAGAGTGCATTGGCATACTCCTGGCCACCCCAGTGTCCACCTGATGGGCTCCGGTGATCCTTCTGCCTCAGCCTTCCAAGTAGCTGGAACTACAGGCGCACTCTACCACACCCGGCTAATTTTTTATTTATTGTAGAGATGAACCCGCGGGCTCAGGCAATTCATTTGCCTCAGACTCCCAAAGTGCTGGGATTACAGGCTGAGTCACAGCGCCTGGCTGGAATTGAGGATTATTAAAACACAGATTGAGGAGATTTGAAAAGTAATTAAGTGAACTCAAAATAATAATAACATGAAGAAGTAGCAGTAATCCGAGCCCAGGATTTCAAGACCAGCCCAGGCAACATGTCTCTACAAAAAAATTAAAAAATTAGCCAGGCATGATGTTATACACCTGTAATCCCAGTTACTCAGCAGGCTGAGGCAGGAGGATCACTTGAGCCCTGGAGGTTGAGGCTATGGTGAGATGTGACCATGCCACTGCACTTCAGCCTGGGCAACAGAGTGAGACCCTAACTCAAAAAAAAAAAAGTAATAATCCTTAAATAAATTGAAGCCAGGCACAGTAGCTCAGGCCTGTAATCCCAACACTTTGGGAATGCCAGAGTCCAGGGGTTTGAGACCAGCCTAGGCAACTTGGTGAGACCCTGTCTCTGTTTCTAACAATACATTAAAAAATGAGGCGGGTGTTGTGGCGCACACCTGTGGTTCTAGTTACTTGGAAGGCTGAGGTGGAAGGATCGCCTGAGTCCAGCAGGTCAAGGCTGCGGTGGCCATCAGTGTGCCATTGCACTCCAGCCTGGGTGACACAGTGAAATGCCAACACAAAAAAAAAAGAAAAGAAAAGAAAAAGAAAGAAATTAAAGGCAGAAAATGTGGGTGGCGGAAAGACAGGGTGAGAGAAATAAGGATAGAAGAGGTCTAATAAATAACTAATTAGAGCTCTAGAATGTGAGAGTTGAGAACATGAAGCAAAGGCAATGTTAAATGAGATAATGGCTGATCATTTTCCAAGGTTGATGAAAAAAAAATCCATTCTCAGTTTCAGAAAGTCCAACAAACAGAATAAAAGAAAACCCATTTTGATATACTATAGTGGAATTACAGAACATCAAAAACAAAAGTCTAAAAACCATTCAGAGCTCATGTTCTCTAATTCATACATGACTAATTCTCTCCAAAGTAAAGCTACCCTGAATGCAGTTGAAGATTCCAGCATAAAATGTGGACCACTAAGCAATACCTGTCTTATGTGTTTTTTCATTTCCCTTTAAGTATCTTAAAAGCTTATTTCACTGGTTATAAAAACATCAAAAAAAGTGTAATTTTTAAAAATATAAAATGAGCACAAATCTCATTACCAGAAGTACAAAGAAATGAGGGATGGGAGCAAAGGAAACAACTGTTTAGTACCAAAAATAAGTCACTGGATTTGTTTAGTTATTAATAGCAAACAGACTAAGAAGGGTAGAGGAAGGTGAAAGGCTACGTACTTGCAGTTGGTACAGGTGTAGAAGACAGTCTGCCCCTCATCTGCTGAACGCATCTGTCTGGTGTGGTATGCCATTCCCTCATGGCCACATCTAGAGCAGCGCCTGTCAATCTGAAAAGAAACCAGTGGGTTAGAGAGGCCTGCATATCCCCTTACTTTTCACAGGAATCCGGTTATCACACTCCTCTTCCTTCTTGGAATTGAATACAAAACTTATCTCTGCAATCACTCCTCCAATTCTTTCCCACTCACCTTATGGAGCCAGTCCTTGATCTCATCAACTTACCACAGGCCCTTGGAACTCAGGCCCTTCCTCCACAGACTTAGGCATGGCCGTCCCCAGCTTATGGAATACAAATGAAGTTTTCACAACCTTCCCCTCGAAGTCTGCACAGGAAAGAAAGAACTGGTTGTGGAGACAAGCAGGGGAAGCTGACACTCGTGAAACCTCTCCTCTACCCCCTGATTAGATCAGGAAACCCTTACATCTTTCCCTTCAGGTTTCCTTCCCCGACCAAATGTACAAGTACCTGATCTCCACTCTAGGGTCCCTTTCCCCATCTAACCGATCTCGAGGTCTCCTAAGCTTCTGACCCAGGGTCCTAAGCCAGGGCTACTGAGTACAAGCCCCTCACCCCGAACGTTGATGTTGAAGCCACAGCGAATACAGGTGACCATATCCTGAGCCCCGGGCAGAGGTAGGATCGAGCCGCAATCTGGACAGAAATCTAAGTCCGACTGAAAACTGGAGCAGGTACTGGCAAGGTCCATGGCAGACTTACGGTCGAGGGCTGCGAAACGAATGAGAAGTTTATCAACAAAAGAGAGAGGAGGTTTTCCCCGCTCCCCACCCAGGGGTCATTTCTATTCTGTCTCAGGACCTACGCGCATATAACCCACCCCCTCCTTCCACGAATGCCTCCTCCCTCTACGACCAAGGAGCCCAAACGACCGAAATCCCCAGCCAGCTTCGGGTACTGTGGGACTTGATCTTTTTCTGGCACAGGCGAGAAGGGTAAGCCAATTTCGTGAGCGCCGGCGGCGGGCAGCGAGCGCCTGGCGGGCTGGAGCGTCATGCATTCGGGCTCACGATTGGCTGTGACGACATAATCAAGCGCGAACCTCATCTTGAGATCATTGCGGTAGACCTCTTTGGAGGGCGATGGAGGCCCCGCATTTCACCCTGGTACTGAGACGTCGAGTAAGAAAGCTGGTGCTGGCCGGGCTCGGTGGCTCAGCCTGTAATCCCAGCGTTTTGGGAGGCCGAGGTGAGCGGATTGGCTGTGCCCGCGGGTTCGAGGCCCGCCTGGGCAACTTGGCGAGACCTCATCTCCACAATAAATCAAAAAAAAAAAAAAAAAAAAAGATTAGCCGGGCGTGGTAGCGCACCCCTGTAGTTCCAGCTACTTGGAAGGCTGAGGCGGAAGGTTCGCCGGAGCCCAGCAGCGAGGCTGCGGTGGCCGGGAGCGGCCACGGCACTCCAGTCTGGGCGACAGAGTGAGACTCCAACTCAAAAAAATAAAAGAAAGAAAGCTGGTGCTGCGCTTCCATATAATTCCACCACTAGCGCCCAATCAGGATTATTTATTTTCGTTGTCTCACATCCTCTAGGGATCCAGTCGCGGAGGGAGTCCGCCTGAAAACTGTGTTAACTACCACAAACCGGCGTCTTCGCGTTACAGAACTACAACTCCCGTCGTTCCTGATCCGGTATTGTCCTTCTACGGCTGCGCAGTGGATATAAACAAAGCTAAGCATTTTGGAACTTCCACTTTTAGTGTTCTTTGGTTTCAGATGGTTGAACGTGGGCTCTCTGCGGAGCCCAACGTGCCTCGCTTGCTTTGGGGGCAGTTCAGGGAGATTGGAAAAGGTGAGTTGGCTTCTTTTTTCATGTATGTATGTATGTACGTATGTATGTATTTGTTTGTTTATGTATGTATTTTTGAGTCAGAGTCCCGCTGTCGCCCAGGCTGTAGTGCCACGCTCACGGTCACCGCAGCCCCGACCTGCTGGGCTCAGGCGATCCTTCCATCTCAACCTCCTGAGTAGCTGAGACAACAGGCGCCTGACACCACGCCCGGCATATTTTTTGATGTAGAGACGAGGTCTCGCCAAGTTGCCCAAGCTGGTCTCTAACCCGTGGGCTCAGGCAATCCTTTCGCCTTTGCCTCCCAAAGTGCTGGAATTACAGGTGTGAGCCACCGCTCCCGGCCGAGTTGGCTTCTAAAGGGACCGGAAGTGAGGAGATATGCTTAGCCCCAGGGGACGAAAGGAAGCTGGATGAAGCGGAACACTTGGGAAGGGGCTCAGAACTTTGTGGGTGATGGAACAGAATAACTTGGGGGCTTCCCCTTCCATCGGCTCCTGCCGGATGAAAGGGACAGGCAGTACTCAAGGGAGCTCCTCACGTAGGATTTCATAAGGCATAGGTCGAATATGGCTTTCAGTTCGGTACTGCCTACCTCCTCTCCCGCCTTCCAAGTATGCAACTCTAAATCGTCGTCCCTTAAATGGACAACTGACATTTCCCTAGTCTTTTATTAAACATGAGGATAACTATCTTTAGAAAATATTGCTATTTTCATTCACCTATAACTTATTATCTAAGCAGAAACTTTTCCTGAAGGCACAGCTTCTAGTTGATCTTTCTGGTTTCCTTTCAGCCTTCCCACCACTACCCACCCTGTTAACTGTGCTAAGTTTCTCCATATCAACGTTCTGGAGCCGTCATTATTTTCTCCTCTGAAGGACACAAGCTGTGGTCTTTCTTTGGGAGAGGATCCCCTCTGTCCTTCTCTGCAATAATAGAACACCACAGTGAAGGGATTAGAACTCTCAGTGAGCTGTTGAAGTGACAAGCACCGTTATTTAACTGTGAACTTTGCCTGTCATTGTCATTTTGTCTGCCTTACAAGGAGATCTGTTACTGAACTGATGATAGTAGGCAGTTTTTATTCTCACTTACCTGTGTGTCTGTCTGCCTTGAAAATGGACATTGAAACTAGCCTTCCACCCTCCCCAGCATTCCCTTTTTAAAATAACTAACATTCAGCACATATCCACTGTGAGTTGAATAACTATTCTAATGCAGAAAAGGAACAAAATATAAAGTATTTACTGAGCACCTATTCCATCTCAAAAAGAGGTATACATAGGCAAGTAAGACAGTGCCTAAGAGGTCAGTGAGACTGATTATTTGATATCAGATCCTCTTCAATAGCATAGACACATCATTATAGTTGTAGATATAAAATATAGTTACCATCCTTTATAAGCCTAAAAATGTTAAAAGTGACATATAACTACAAATATCACAGGGCAAACAATGATTATTTTCAAGTGAGTTGCAGAATTTAAAAATGTTAAGTGTTTAGAGGAAGGTAAAAATCATCATGACAGAGTAGACCAGAAAGACTATAGTCAGGGATTTGACCTATGAACAACAGATAACTACTGTTCTTTTTTTTTTTGAGTTGGAGTCTCACTCTGTCACCCAGACTGGAGTGCAGTGGCCGCTCCCGGCCACCGCAGCCTCAACCTGCTGGGCTCCAGCGATCCTTCCGCCTCAGCCTTCCAAGTGGCCGGAATTACAGGCATGCACTACCACGCCCAGCTGATTTTTTGATTTATTGTAGAGATGAGGTCTCGCTGCCCAGGCGGGTCTCGAACCCGCGGGCTCAGGCAATCCACTCACCTCAGCCTCCCAAAGGCGCGGGATTACAGGCTGAGCCACCGAGCCCGGCTACTACTGTTCTTTTTTATTGAGAACTTGCCAAGCTTTTTCTATCTAATTCAGTTTTGTTCTTTACAACCTTGAGAGGCAGATTTTGGTCTTATATCTTCATTTTGTAGAGGAAAAATCTGACATAGAAGTAAAATGACTTGCCCTGAGTCACACAATTAGGAAATGGTGGAATTATAATTCACAGTTAGCCCTGTCAGACTCTGAAGCCTATACCTTTAACTATAAATGATATAAAAGGCACAGAAATGAAGTGCCAGGCATCCTCAGGGGCTTAAATACGACCTCACAGTAAACTCACATTAGACCAGGGATGACACATAAAAGTTGTTAGTCTTCATTTGTGTTGCCATCAGCCTGCCCTATAAATAAACCCAGACTAACCACAGATTCCCATCCTAAAGAGTTCAACAGAAAATGGTCTCATACTGGATTTAGGGTGCAGGGTGATTGGCAGTCTAAAGCTGGCAAGCAGAAGGGTGGGCGATCAAATAAGAACTGAATTTCAGAACAAAACATTGAAGGGCAGAGATGCTGTATGTGCTCATAGAGGCAGAGAGGGCCCGGATCAAGAAACTGCAGAAAGAGAATGAACTGATCAAACTGGAGCCTAGAATTATCTCAGAAGATAGAGGAGACTTGAGGACTGAGCGATCTGACATAGATGTTCTTGAGCAACACTTCATCAAGAAACCTGTCTCTTCCCACTTGCAACCCCTAATGCAAGATTCAGAATGGTTCAAGCTGAATCCACAGGAGAAGTATGCTTGTAGTTCATATGAAATGAAGGATCCTCTTCTTCTTAAAAGAACATTCATTATTCTCACCATAAAAATGCAGTGGAGGCCAGGCACGGTGGCTCATGCCTGTAATCCTAGCACTTTGGGAGTCAGAGGCTAAAGGATTGCCTGAGTCCAGGAGTTTGAGACCAGCCTGGACAACTAGACAAGACCTCATTTCTCTTTTTTTTTTTTTGAGTTGGAGTCTCACTCCGTCGCCCAGACTGGAATGCAGCGGCCGCTCCCGGCCACAGCCTCGACCTGCTGGGCTCCGGTGATCCTTCTGCCTCAGCCTACCAAGTAGCTGGAACTACAGGCGCGTGCTACCACTCCCGGCTAATTTTTTGATTTATTGT